GAGTGCTTGGACTAGGTGAGAGCTTCGGAGAGGCATTGATATATTTCGTTTTCGCTTTAGTTTTTAGCGCTGTTTACTTCTGATTGATATTCTAGCATTTGGCGGAAGTAATGAATTCGTCTATAGACGGTTCAGTTTAAGCTGACTCGGGCACTGCCGGCTGTAGCTACAATCGTGTAGCTACAAACAGGGACGTTGCACTATGGCGCTCGGGGCTGGCCGCCGTCTCCACACAGCTGCTTGGCGGGTTGGCCTACCAAACGCGTTGCAGGCGCTAACGCCACGGACATTGTTTAATAGTGGGATATCGATGGGTGGTGGAGCAATTGGCTGAAATGATCATGATAATAATTATAACCAACGTGCAATTTTCTTTAATTTCTCCAACATTTGATACATATTTGACCTCTTTGAACACTGTACATGATTTATTTACATTGAGTTAGGGTGATGTGCGAAGGTTGCAATATGAGCAGGTGACTGGAAGGAACTCGGAATCACAGGGATTTGTGAATTTGACCTACTGAGAGCGCAGACCCAAAATTTTAAAGGAAAGTACATCTTTGGGTGGTAAGAAGTAAAGCAGTGCCTCATCATATGTTGAAGTACGCCCTCAAACAAGGAGAATACATGGTAAGCTTGTGCTAAACTGTAGACAGCCTCCTCAAAGCTTATTTGTGCCCTTAGCAAGGCTAAACTACATTTAATCACCTATCTGGTTGAAGACTAGAAACTTAATAGCACGCTCATTCATTCACTGCTAGCTGAGGGTCAGGAAAAGATTGTGCATACTATAAACTGGATAAAACCATAAAATAATTCATACTAACATATATAATTTGGGGTTTAAGTAAGGCAATGGATGCTTCTATCCTGAATTAATGCAGAAATAAAATACCACACATTAAACGGGAAATTTCTTCTACAACGAAACATTTTGACATCAAACAACGTACAACATACACTCACACAAACCTCGCACACATCATCCTTCGATATAGATGTTATCTGTATTGGTCCATCAGACGCCTCCCAAGGCTCCTCCGTTCAACGAAAAGACTTTTAATTCTGAAAAAGTCTTGTATAAAATGAGTACCATTAAAAAATACTGGACCATGTAACAGAGTAACACCTGGGAGTCTTTTCCCATTTACCTTGCCCTGGATGCTTTTGTTTGGCTTTTTTTTGGGGGGGAGGGGGGGGGGGGTAATCATCTGGTAGGATTTGAACTGCGAATCTGATTTGATATACAGCATTGAACACTAGAATAAGCAACTAAAGTCATCTCTTTACTACACCTACAAATAAAAATCCACATTTAATGATAAATTTTCAGCATCCAATGTTTGTGCTATGTTTTATTGAGTACGGTATTTTCAAAGTTATAGAGAAAGGGATAGGGAGGGGCAATAACATTCTGAGGTCACAGAGCAATCTAAAACAATGGGCTCAATCCGAAACATTCTCCTCACAACTAAAATTTAAGAATGGGATGAGTAGATAACAAAAGTAAACATTGTATAAAGTCAACGGCATACAGTACTATGTAGACTAACAACATTCTTACATTGCAACTAAATAAGGTAAACAATTAATTTCTTTCATCACATGGGCACAATATTTCCCTAAAAGGGATTTGATATGTTTTTCACACGACTGTCAAGAATTTAAGTGGTAATTCTATCTTTTGCAACAGCAATTTGCAGCATAAATATCTATCACATTTTGATATGTGTTTGTTACTTTATGGTATGTTTTATGACAAAAGTCATATAAAATGAAGGTACTAAAACATCAAAAAGAGAAACAATATACAAATTTAACAATGTCCCTCACAACAAAAAGAAGCAAGGAGCTTAAAGCATTAGTTTTATTTGGCTTACTCAAAAGACCCATTCAATTGCCTACATAGGAATATAATACAAAAATTACTATTCCAAATTCTCATAGCACTTTTGAGATTTACACTCACTACTTTGCCTGTTCTTAATACTACTTGATATGCAACATTCTGATATGCCTTCATAAGATTCATAGTCATAATAGACTATAAATGGACTATAAGCGCCACAGGCTACTTTGATGACCTCCAGAGGCTGAATAATTAATATCTCCCCTCTCATCGGTCTTAAGAGATTTTGTTCAGCCTGAAGGCTTGACATTAGGAAACACACCTTACTTTCTGTATTTAACAACCCACAAAGTAGAAAACCGTTCAAGTGCTTTGCACAGATTACCCCTCTGGTACAAAGGTGTGTCAACAACATAAATATTGAGCAAGATAAAGTAGATAGGGTGCTAAGGAAGGATACATGATGGATTTTGGTCAAATAGTGGTACTAAAGAAACTAAGATTGGAATCTCAAAAATTTACTTGAAGTGAAGAATAATGAGGTATATTCTACGAATAGTCTGCAATCACTCATGCTAAAACAGTACAGGATTTTCCTTTAAAACACTACACTGATAAAATTTATGCTCTCTGAGAAGGCTTTTATTATTTATCAATCTGAATGGAGGGGATTGTAGTCAACGAATTAATTGAAACACATGATTCCTTGTTCCTTCCTCCACACACGTTACAACTAAGTACATAATCAAAATATATGTGTTGTACAATACATACTTACTATAGCAAAAGATATACACATTCAGCCCTAATCACAAAGGCCCTCTAAAAAGATATGCCACCCACATTGATATGTTCATTGATATGTATCGGTGAGTAATGTCTAACAGATGATCTAGTACATATTAACCCTATTGGGTAAAAACAGTCTACAGCACATTTCATAATTTAGACGTTGCACGCGAGAAATGCTCTCTCTTGCATTTTCTACAGGGATATCTCTGAGCGTTAAAGGGAGGTTTTTTGATTGCTTTGATGTAAAACATTTTATCATCCTCAGAGTTGTTGATAAAACAAAAGAAAGTGAAACAATAAAGAGAGAGAGTGAGACAGCGCCAGAACGATGTTACTCCCTTTAACACAGCCTCATTTAAAGTTCCATTTCATCCTAGATATTGATTTAAAAACCAGTCAAAGATATTTTAGCGAGTTAACTAGAAGAAATACCAAATTGGACTGTTTTCCTCTAAACCAAAAACATGATATGTGAAACAATGGAAGTATATTAACTCTATCATGTGACATCCTTATATTACAATGCATTTTTACGACTTCAAGGAAAATCGCAACAAAATTATTTTATAAACTATTCTTAAACGCACACGTTTTCTTACTTTCACATCATTTACCTAAACACCGTGAGAGGCGCCCCATTCAATAAAATGGGACTGATATGTCATCGTTTTGGCCGGCTGAACAGCAAGGCTGTTCATGTGCCTGCAGAATAAATTACTTTACAATCGAGAATTAAATGACAATCAGCAGCAATTAGTTGTTGCCGAATGTGTACATATCACAATAGTTACTCTTATAAATTGTGCAAACATGGCCTTTTTCTGAGTAAAAAAAAGGCCCCAGCTATTCTGTTACTTTCCTTCGCTGACAGACGCCTTGACGTCCCTTCACGCGAACTTGATAGAGATTTGTACGAAATTCCAGATGCAACAGAAGGACGACGCATACTCTTATGCCACCCGGCGACAGCTGCCAGCAGCTCCCGCACAGAGGGCTGGAAGAGGGAAAAGAAAACTCCGCGCGACTTGACCAAAGTAAACATGAAAGAAAGAAAATGAATAAAACGACGGGAATGTCTATATCAGTGACTGGTGTCCTGCGGCCGCAATGGGGGTCGCGGTCTCGGCCTCAGCGCCAGGAGGACGCCCAGGGCGTGCGCCAGCAGGCAGGCGAGCAGGAGCGGCGTGGCGTCCAGGGCGCGCACCTGCGCGGAGGACGCGGACGACGACCGGTCCGGCACCCGCACCTCCACCAGGCCCAGCTTGAGGATGGACAGCAGCAGGTGCGAGTTGAAGTCCGAGTGTCGCGAGTTGATCTTCTCCACAATGTCGTGCAGCGGCCCCACGCACTCCTCCTGCAAACGATCGGACGGTGTCAAAATCTTTTCGTAAACGCACATTATATCAAATAACGAACATTTTGCACCAGAAATATACATATTTTTGGACTACAGTTTTCTTCAAATTGAACAAATTTTGTTTGAGCTGAGGAAAACAAGAGTTCTTTGTTTCAACGATAATTTTGTGAGAGTGGTGATTTTGTTCGCTCAAAGAGAAACCGTGTCCCGTTTACCTTCTCTTTGCGCAGCATGTCGGCCTGGCTGAGCTCCTCGGTGACGTTGGTCTGCACCAGCTTGGCCACCAGGATGAGGTTGCCGCGCGTCACGTTGTGCAGCAGCAGGGTGCACATGACCTCGCGCGGCGCGTCCACCGCGTTGTCCGTCTGCCGCTCGGCGTGCCGGTCCGCGTGGCGGTCGGGCTCGCCGGGGACGTGGTGCAGGCCCGCGCGCATGTGCTCCTGCAGCGTGGCCGCCACGTCGGCCACCGTCAGGTTGGACAGCTCCTGCATCATGGCCTCCTCCCGCTCCGAGTAGCCCACGAACAGGAACACCCCCTCCGGCAGCGAGTAGGTGTCTGCGGGCACAAAAAAAAGTACATTGCAATGTCGTAAAGAGAAAAAAACAAAAAGAAAATAAAACCTAACAACTAGTATGAGGCTAATTTTTTTATAGCCGTGTAAGTGACCTTGGGATTGATTATGAGAAATAAAACTTAAGCTTTCCAGACATTGATTTTGTCAAGCAAAAATGCCACACAGCAAAATAATTACTTATTGGGATACATTTTTAATGTCCTCCAAAACCAGCTATTTTCAACGCTGTGGGACGAAAATAAAAAGGTGCCGTGAAAAAGGTACCCTCGTCCCTTAAAACGACAAAAGTGGTGCATGTCCCCTCCCTATGTCTTGTCCCCCGAGTGAGATACCAACCTGGCGCCGGCCGCATGCAGATGAAGCGGCCCGAGTAGCAGAGGCAGCGGCCGCGGTACGCCTGGTAGGCGGGAGAGGCGTGGTTGTAGAAGGCGTAGTCCGTGCGGCACGGCGTCCTGGCCACGCACACCATGTTGCACGACAGCGAGTCCCCCGGGTGGCACTGGCACACCTCGGAGCACTCGGGCTCGTCGGCGCGCTGGAACTGCGGAAGGAAGGAGCAAGAGGGCACACGGTCAGC